AGAGAACGGGGCCTGCGCCAGTGCGATCAGACCTGCTTGTTTGGGAACTATAGACCTCTTCATTTATAAGGCTCGCGCATTCCCAGAGAGCGTAGTGCTTGCTTAGAACGAAAAAAAATGCGCCTCTCAACCGTCGGATGTCTGGGGAATTTATTTGGCTTGCTGGAAACGGCCTGCATTAATGTGAAAAAAGGGGAGAATTTCGGGACGAAAGAAATAGAGCGTATAAACGGATTTCCCAATGTAACGAACGGGTCCCTCTGCCCCGTCTCCTGCTGTGAGATCTTCCGGGAGGTGAGAAGGTAATTTGCTATTCGTTCCTAAAGCGTGGGCGTACAAGAAGCGATGGAAGGGGTTTGAACTGCCGACCAACTAATTTTCCTCGTCGCTGTCGTGGCAGGGTTTCCCCACTGAGTACGTTGAGTACACAGCGAAAAGGAGTATTTGGTCATTGGATAGTGGAGGAGGGTTGTATTTGCCTGGGAAAAATGTTTGAAGTAGTTGACTTTTCTCTGTTTTTCTGTTTCAATTGCGCTATATTCCACCCCCTCCCCATTTCTTCACCGCTGTCCCCCACCTATCGCCTTCACCTTTTGCTGTACTGTAGTTTTTAGGGGAAACTATTTGGATGAACTGGGACGGGAAGCTTTGAAGATCAGTTTAGAGAGATGGTAGGTAGTACGGGGAAAGGGGGAGGGTGTGTGTATCAGAAGAAAGAATTTCGAAGGGGATCGTATTTTGCAAAATTATTTCCCAAGGCAGGACGTGCTGTGCTTGCAAACCCCATGTGTGCTTGCCGCACTTGGCACTTTAACCTCCTGAGGGACCACCTGCTCCATTCTTGACTACTGTAATGAGTACCCAAACTATTATTTAGGTATACATTGTTCCGAGAGCACTCTCTTACTGGTGCACCGCCTATGCGACCTATTTGGTTCGAGTTCCCTAAAGAAGAGAAACTCTTTGACGAAGAAAAGGTAGGTTGAAATAGGCTGCAAGTCTGGCGCAGTTCAGCTTGGTAGGGGCATTTGCTATTCATCGAAGTCTGTTCAAGCCACCTTGTGAAGAAGACTTGTGAGTTCCTGTCACCAATAAGGCTCATTTATTCCGTTTCGCAGCTTCAATTCCATTTCGCGGCTTCACAGGGCTTCACTAGTCCCCATATTGTAACCTATTGGTTAACATGAACTAGCAAAATGTACTTGTAATGTGGAAAATGCCCCTATCAACCCAAACAGCGCCAGGAAATCTTTTTATCGAGGCTGAATAATTCATTCGCTCTTAAAGGCTTGGATGGTCGGTCATGCCTTGCTTGTTCGTGCTGTTGTGGAAAAGGATACTTACAATGTCAACGTCGAGCTACCGTCTGGCGAAGACAAGGTTTTTTTGAGACTTATCTTCTTTGTTTTTTTTTTGCAAAGAATTCGGTATCAAGAATGGGCTGAGTTACATCTTTCAGAGTACTCGCTGGTACGATTGGGAAACGGGTACGGAGAGGCCATCAGGCTTATCGTACGTAGATGCACCCATTACTCACATCCCTGTGTTCCAACGTGGTGGAACGATAGTTCCTACTTGGCAAAGAATAAGACGTGCCTCGATTCTGATGCTGCAAGTGAGGCTTTTGATCAAATGTTTTTTCTAGTGCGTTTACAGAAGTTTATGTTCTGCTTGCAGGACCCTTTAACGCTGTTCGTCGCTCTTGATCGTGGTGGTAATGCCAAAAGGTAATGTGTACCTGGATGACGGCGCCACCCATGATTACAAACAAGGAGCTTTTGTTGTAGCTGACTTCGCTTATAAGTAAGAGCTTCATCTCCATTTTCATACTGGAACATTTTGAACCATTTTTTTCAATTGAAGTACGACATCGAATGACGAAGCTGAATTCACGGGTCAACCAGCAGCTGATAGTGGTAAATACGAGACTGAAACATGGATTGAACGTATAGAAGTACGAGGAGTGGAGCGAACGCCTGCCAAAGTCTCGGTTAGTTTCCAAGGTTTTCTTACGCTTTTTCAGGAGCGGGTAGTGTCACCTTTATGTTTGAAGGCCTAGTCCGCACTTTATGGGGATCGGGGAGATGTCCCAAGCGTCATTGGTGGAAGGGCATTGGTCCACACGCCTTCTTGGCCCACACCACTTCAGCATTAGAAGATGTGGTTGAACTCGTTCTCAGTCACGGCACTGAAGGCGCCTCGCCCCCTCCCCTCTCCCGCTATACAGCGTTGGCTATGCCTTCATGGGGAAGAATAGTGAACCTAAAACCTGTGGATTTATCGTTGAATATCGTAAGATATTGATTAATGAGTGAAGCACGCTCCACGTTCGTTTGACGTCTAGACGCCTTCACTTGGACGTAGGTAATCCTGTCCACAGACATGAAAGATGTACTACTTTCGCAATTCAAAACACATTAGGAAGGCGCTACCGCTTGTGATAGAAAAGCGGCTCCACCCACTGGCTACGGCCACGCCCAACTTTTATTTTTAACTGCTACCTGATAATGCGGTTGTTCTGCTACTAACTCTTTGTATTTCGAGTGGTGAGGGCGAGGTGATAAGGGGAGAGCTGCATTAGAGTATTCGCCCGACGACGCCATTTCTTCAACTTTCCTTGTGCAAGCTCTGTTCGGTGTGAGGTTCTGTATGGGGCGTTTCGGACGGTTTTTGTGCTTTTTTTTCTTCACGTTTGTCTTACTTACCATCTCGTCATTGGTTGTTAGACCGCACAACTCACCATTTTTGGACCCGGAGCATGCTGTAGGTTGTCGTGACCGCTGCCTTTTTGTTTCGTTTTCCCCCGTGCTACTTTTTCCTTATAATATTTGGAGGGGCAAGAGGTGGTGTAGTGACAAGTGGCGCGCTTACCACTCGCGCGGTCCTGGGTTCAAATCCCGGGTCGACTTCCCGCCTAGGCCAACCAAGCCTTCTACCCTCCGGGGACGGTGAATTGGTACCAGATTCGTCTGGGAGGATAAAACACTGACTTGTACATCGGCTGGCCCCCGCCGCGTTCATTAAGCCACTAAGGTTCTGATTGGAAGTAGAATGCGTGCTCCAAATTGTTTGATCAATGGCCACCATTTTATCTCTTTTCATTAATACTTGGAGAATTGTATTTGGAGGTTGGTGACGTTTCAGATTATTCGAGCCTCGGATCCTACGGATAAGCTAGAATACTCATACGATCGCGACCGAAGGCTGTTAACGATCCGCAAGCCGTTGGTGAGCATCAATCAATCGTACAAGATCATCATTTCATTCTGAAGGTTGCTAAGGGGGTACAGGGCTTATGCTCCATGATCTGGATGTGATTCGTTGTTAACAGTGATAGCACACATTGATGTTGTTCTAGGTTAAATATACCATTATAGCCCAAATAGCCCTGTGTCTCCTTGTTGTTAAGAGTTGATTTCCAAGTTGAATCCCCCTTAGTAGTCGCCATGAGTAACGTAGCTTTATATAAGTTCTAGTTTTGGAGTAATCTCGTTCAGACTTTCACTAAGTATCCGTTAATTTGAAACCCTAATTTATTAACTTAATGCATGGAATCGTTGCAATTTATAAGGGGTGATACAAATTCATTGATATTGTTGTCAAGTGGGTTAACTTATGTGTATTACGGTTGTTTTTTATTGATAAATCTCTTTTGTTGATAATTTTTGTGCTTTGTCGAAAGGGACGATGTTGACTGAGAGCAAATATATTAGGTTGTCCGGAAAGTTCTCAGCGTTTTGGGTGTTTCACTTTAAACGATCGTAACTTTTTTAATACTCATCGGATTTAATCGAAATAGGCACCATTCGAATCAGCACACTTTTGCCAATGTGACAGCAGTCGAGAAATCCCATCAAAGTAAAAAACTGGGTGGTCGAAAATTCACGAAATCCACGAAGGCTTTTTTGCCTGGTCCTGATTGATGAAGTATTTTCCAGCAAGGAAGTTCTGAAAATGTTTGAAAAGGAATATTCGGTTGGTGAAAGGTCTGGAGAATATGGCGGTTGAGGTAGAACTTCAACCCCCAATTCGTTCAATTTATGGATAGTGATTTGTGAAACGTGTGGGCGGGCGTTGTCATGCAAAGGAATCGGACCCTTTCTTTTGATAAGTGTTGGCTGCATCTGACAAAATTTTCGGTACATTTCGTCGATTTCTTCACAGTAGGGTTCTGCTGTGATGGTTTGGCCTGGTGATAAAAAGTTATAGTGGATCACACCAGCCGATGACCACCAAGCCGTGACCAGAATCTTTTTTCGTGAGGGTTCGGCTTTGAAAATTACCTCGGTGGTTCGTCGAAATCCAACCACTGTCCGGAACGTCTCCTGTTATCATACATGACCCATTTTTCATCACAGGTGACAATTCGGCCAAAAACAGGTCGTTTCTGCTGCGCAAAAGCAATGCAGAAGGAACCTCGAGACGTGCCGATTCCTGCCGGTCACTCCGATTGTGGGGCACCCAATTGTCGAGTTTTTTCACCTTCCCAATGCGTTCCAGACCATCTGCAACAGTGGATTTGCCAAGGCCTAGCTCTTCTGCTATCTCTCGAACTGTTTGGGATGGGTCAGCCTCCAAAATCCCCCTAAAATCCTCGTCAGATATTGCTTTAGGTCGACCGCTATGAGGTTCATCTTCAAGGCTGAAATCTCCAGAACGAAATTTGTTGAGCCATTGCCGCACAGTGCTTTCTCTAGCACTATTGGGCCCCCACACCTGGTTAATTTGTTGAGCTGTTTCGATTGCGGATTGCCCCAATTTATAGTCGAAGAAAAAAATCGTCCGAAGTGCTCTTTTCACATGCTTGAAAAAATCTTGAAAAAGGGGGTTTATCAAGCAATGGTGAAACGGCAATTATACCATCAGATAGCGCAAGAAATTCTCTACAGGATGTGCTACTGAGAAGCAAGGCAGAATGAGTTTTTAATCAGCAGTGAATGTACAAAGATTAGGTGCACAAAACGCTAAGAACTTTCCGGACAACCTAATAGAAAAGGAGACGCTTAAAGGTTCGGTCCGCGATCAGGTATCGAACTTGAAAATATGAGGTCGGGAGGTAGTGTGGTCCGCGACGAACAATCTTGTACCGGTTTCGCAGTAAAAAAATTCAAGGGAGGGGCGCTATAGCGCAAAATAGAATCAGTGGCGCCCCCTTTTCTCCAGTAATTTCGCCTCTATCCCCCCCCCCCCCCAAACTCCGCCCCAGTGCCCGGCATTCAGTGAGAGGTTGCAGGACGAAAAAAAACAAGAAAACCGTCACTTGTACGGTGGTAAGGTCTTTATGGGGATCAGCTGTGCGGATGAGGGTGTAGTGTTGGAGCTGGAGTTTATTGGGCACGTACATACTGGGATCGAAATGGGGTTTTACCCAGGGCAGTTGACATATTTCTCTCTGGTTTTTTTCTTCACTATAGAGTTACCCAGAACCTTGTCGTTTATATGCAACCCCTAAGCCACTATCTGTGATGACGAATGATCGCGGGCTTTGCCTTTCAACGCTAGACGTGCACGTCTGCAAAGGGAAAAGGGGCGGAGAGCGGCTCTGATTACTGCCTAGCTCACCCCTTTCCCGCCTTGCTGCTAAAGACCATTTGCCCATTTTTCGTCAGAGATAAGGCAACATAACTGTTGCAGCAAATTAGGCGGGAGGTGGTTTGAGCTTACACACTCAGCATCTAGCGATGGAGTGGGCGTGGCTGCGTACTTCGCTCGAACATGGTGTAGGATGCCTTGTACGCAGGATCTTTCCATTCGATGCAAGTGTTATCCTTCTCGTAGTGGACAAGGACATGGTGGCAACTGTGCTGGAACTGCAACTTCCCTCCAAGAGTTCAGCCGCCGCCTCGTTTGGATGGGGTACCCCGCCACGGACTCCCCATCCATGGCATGAAATGTAGGTTTTGACGTTCGAGCGGTTCCTCTGAGCGATCAACTTCTGCTTTAGCTGATTTATCCTTTACCAGTCGGATCGCCCGGCTGACGCCGAGCTCTCCTCCTTCTCTTTAGCTCGGCTTCGCCGAGCTGGCCTGGCTTCGCCAGGCGCGCATAATTTGAACGCAACTTTTTCGACATGTATGTGTTGTATGGGCTTTATGGCGCGGACCACACCCTTGCTGCAAATATAAGCGTATGCTTAGGAATGCAGGATCCGCAACGTTGCTCTATCTATAATGATTCGATCACTACAGCGCCATATGAGCAGCCCACTGTCGAAAAAGTTGCGTTCAAATTATGCGCGCCTGGCGAAGCCAGGCCAGCTCGGCGAAGCCGAGCTAAAGAGAAGGAGGAGAGCTCGGCGTCAGCCGGGCGATCCGACTGGTACGTTCATACACGAATATAGCAGCTTGTTAGAAGGACCACAGAAGGATCCCACTGCTTCATGCATTCTCTACTCCTGAAGCGTCTCGCTGTGGAATGCACTCCTGCATTCAGCGGTGGAACGCTTCGAATGGTCTCTTACTAAGGTTGTTGATAAGAGATACTTATGGTAAGAATGATTAAGTCTATTGCTGATGTTCACAACATCTCTGTAAACAACCGCCATGCATTTGGAATCGAGCTAGCTTGGCGGTCGTACATGATGTCGTCGTTGGTAAGCAGTGAGGAATAAATTGTGTTGAAATGATTGAGATCGTGATATGGGTCATATCGATGCAATGTTGTTGTGAGCGGTGTAGCTGATTTTTTCATGTCAGCTTTTTACTTTCACCCCTGCTCCCCTTCCTGCCACTCGCCAATAATGTTCCCGTCCCATCCCTATATCTCTTCTTGGAACCAAGGTCCCACTGTTGCTGTAACCTGCGTTACGAATTTGATGACCCTCCCCTTCCGAGGCCCCTTATCGGATCTTATCAACTGTTATCACTTTCTGTCACCCGCCAATAATGTTCCCGTCCCACACCCTATATCACCTCTCGGATCCAAGGACCCACTGTTCCTGTGAGCCGCACTATGGACTCGGTGGCCCTGCTCTTCAGACGCCCCCGAATCTTATCAACTGGTATCACTTCCTGTCACCCATTAATAGTGTTCCCGTCCCACCCCCTACATCACTTCTTGGAACCAATATCTCACTGTTCCTGTGAGCCGCGCTATGGACTCGGTGGCCCTGCTCTTCAGACGCCCCTTATCGAATCTTATCAACTGATATCACTTCCTGTCACCCACCAATAGTGTTCCCGTCACACCCCCTACATCACTTCTTGGAACCAATATCTCACTGCTACTGGGACGGGCGCTATGAATTTCGTGACACACACACACTTAGCGGATTATATATAGTAGGATATTTTTGCTTTCACTGATCTTTTTGCCTCCACAGTTATGCAATGCAATGATCAACAGCTAACCATCTCACCCCTCTTCACTGATCCGATCAACTCTCGCTATCC